CCAACAAAACCACCCCCCCCCCCCCCCCCCCCCCCCCCCAGATTACATTCCCACCCCCGCCCCCCCCCCCCCATTAATTGTTCCCATCATGCTCTGGGGCTTTGAGCTGTGGGCTCTGATCCAATGAGGTGATAATAGGACCGAAACAGAGAAATCACACGTTATATTCATTCCTCTGAGCTGGTTCTCTGCTCCTGCTGTTCCGCTTTCTCCTCGTCGTCGTCGTCGTCTTCCTCTTCCTCCTTCTCCTCTTCTTCCTCCTCCTGCTCCTCCTCACAGGGTGTGACTGTAAACAGGAGCTGATGGACGGATGTAATACTAACAGCAGCGTGTTGATAAGAGCTGAACAGGCGTTTCCTTCCTCACAGCTGCAGGAAAACCTTCTGATGATTTTGTGTTTTATAGACTCGTCGTCCGTTTGTCTCCAACTCAGAGTGTAACAAACGGTTAGCGTGGCTCATCAGGAGAATGAAGTCACTTTGAGCCAAAATGATACAGAAAAAGTATTATTATTATGACATGTCTCTGTTAACTTTTCCGCCATCTTGACTCTCCTTTGTTTGGACGTTACTGCTCTATATCTTTACATAGATGATAGTTATGGATCAGATATTATTGATCTGAATGATAAATGGAGAATCTTTAGGAAGACGTGAGTTCTTCTCCCACCTCAGGAATCAAACCTTCACTCTCGTGTGTGCGTGTGTTGCTGTTCTGGTCTCTATCAGACCTGATTCCAGCTTGGAACGGTGACTCACTGAGTCTATCAATAGATTCTGTGTCTTTGTTTACTGCGTGAACAGAGTTCATCCAACAAACAGAGTTATTGATCCATAAACAGCTGATCAGAACTGATCAATAGTCTCTCAGAGTCAGGAGCCCCTTGATGCTGATTGGTTGCTGACCAATAGAAGCCGAGAACTGAAGAGATTTATTTCACAGTATTGATGATATTTAATATGATAAAAGTTCATTTTAATGTTTTTCACAAAGAAAATAACCAGATAAGAATCAAACACATTAAAGACCTTCATCTGGTGTTTGATAGACTCATCGATTGATCCCCAGTCCAATCAATGTTGACCTGATTACTGTGAGTCTGTAACGAGCTGCAACTCTAACGAGCTGTTGTAGTTGCTGTAGTACAGGTCTGTGGTTGCTGTACTGGTGGTGGTGCAGGTCTGTGGTTGCTGTACTGGTGGTGGTGCAGGTCTGTGGTTGCTGTGGTGGTGGTGCAGGTCTGTGGTTGCTGTGGTGGTGGTGCAGGTCTGTGGTTGCTGTGGTGGTGGTGCAGGTCTGTGGTTGCTGTGGTGGTGGTGGTGCAGGTCTGTGGTTGCTGTGGTGGT